CTAGTATTGTTTGTTACTAGTTGTTCCAGTCCCAGGTTTGTTACAGCATTGTAGAAGGTTGCATGTATAGGTTCAGTTTTACATTCGTTTAGGGTCCAGTTAATGTGAGGTAGATTGAAGTCACCAAAAAAGATAAAAGTGTGTGGGCAGGATGTTGCCCATGTTAGTAGTGAATTTAGCTTGTTTACATGTTCGATGTCATAATCAGGGGCTCTGTAACATAGTAAGAATCTAAATGTGATATTTAAGGACGGTTCACAGACGATGGTCTCAGGAAGAGCAAGCTCTTGGGTAATTTGAATTTTTTTTTAGATGTAAGGACTTTTTATAGAAGAAAGCAACACCACCTCCTCTACGGATTTCACGATCTGATCGGTAAACATGATAGTCTCTTACTGTGGTAATGGAGTCAGGGAGAGAAGCGTTGAGCCATGTTTCACAGACAAATATGATATTGATTTTAGCCATATTTAGTAAGAGGAGAAATTCAGGTATTTTATTCACAAGGCTTCTTTCATTGAGTAGCTTGCATTTAAGGCCAGTTGTGGTTGGAATAGAGGTAGTTAGGAGCGTGTGTGCCTCGTTTTGAGTGATGGTGGGTTGGATGAGGTAGGGTTGGATGTGGAGTTGTGGGTTGTGTGACTTACTTTTGATACAATCAGCGCGGTAGTCAACATAGAGATCCTTCTCTCCATTGTCTAGACCGGTGGTTCCCAAACTTTTTCAGTCCACCGCCCCCTTGGTGCTACAAACTCATCCTCAGTGCCCCCCACCCAGGGGTGGGATTCAAATTTCTGTGGGCATGGCCTAATTTGAAGGTGTGGCTTGCTGGTCACATGACTGGGTGGGTGTGGCTTGTTGGTCATGTGACTGGGTTGGGCATAGCTTGCTGGTCACATGACTGGCTGGCATGGCTTGCTGGCTGGGCATGGCTTGCTTGTCACATGACGGGGTAGGTGTGATTTGGTGGTCATGTGACTGGGTGGGCGTGGCCAGGTGACTGGCAAACCAAATACAAGTGGTCCTCACTTAATGGCTGGTTGTTTAGCAAGTGTTCTAATTTTTGACTGGCATCCCCAGAGTTTTTGGAATTTTGACAGCCATGCACACACATACACACTCCCTTCTAACCCTGCTGGAGCAGGTCATTAGACTAGAATTGGCAAAGCATCTCTGATTAGATTCTAGCAGTGAATAAAATCTAATCAGAGATGCTTTGCCAATTCTTGTTGATTCATTTTATTTGTATCTCTTTATTTTATGTTGCTGAATTGCATTGACATGTGTGTCCCTTCTTGTGCACAACCCAGAAGCTTTTATGATTTTTTGCAGCAAAAATTATCGACCTCTGGCTTTGCTCTACTTTTCAAACATGCCGACACTGCCGCGTTCTAGGTGCCGACCCCACAGGTCCACCCCATTGAGCCCACTGCACTGGAGGGATCTGCCCAAGCAAGTCAAGTCAATGTGGTGAGCCTGAGAGAGGGAGAGAGAGAGAAAGAAGAGAGAGAGAGAGAGAGAGAGAGAGAAGGAAGAAAAGAAAGAGAAAAGGGACAAAGAGGGGGGATGGAAGGAAGGGACAGAAAGAAAAAGAAATAAAGGAGGGAGGGAGGAGAAAGATAATGAGATATCTATTCTAGTCCAATCACCTGCTCCAGCAGGGTTAGAAGGGAGTGTGTGTGTGTGTGTGTGTGTGTGTTCTCCTTGTAATATACCAGTACATTTTGGTTTTGCTTTCTACAGAATTGGCACTGTAATACATTGGGGAAAAGTAATTTTTAGAATGGAGATCTGGTCCAATGAATCCTGTTTAAAGCCTCAACAAAATGTGAGAGCTTCCTGATAGTCTTGACCATGTTTTGTCCACAAAACTTTTAATAGAAGCCAAAGTTGTTTCAATGTGCTGGCAAAGATGTTTCAATGTGGAAAAGGACCTCAGTCTAAACTAGGCCTCATTTCAATGTGATGAATCAGGTCTCTCTCTCTCTCTCTCTCTCTCCCCCTCCCTCCCAGACTGGCTTTGCTCTACTTTCCCAATGTGCCTGCAGGGCTGGAACTTCAAACATGGATAGATGGATGGATAGAGAGAGAGAGGCAGACAGACAGAGAGAGACAGGTAGGTAGGTAGATAGATAGGTAGATAGGCAGGCAGGCAGGCAGACCTTTTGTATGAATGTATGGATAGGTAGGTAGGTAGGTAGATCTATATTGGTAGGTAGGTAGGTAGGTAGGTAGACAGAAAGACAGGTAGGCAGGCAGGTAGGTAGGTAGGCAAGAAGGCAGGCAGACAGACAGGCAGACCTTTTGTATGGATGGATGGATGGACGGACAGACAGACAGAAAGAACGAATGCGACAGCAGTGGCACTTTGAGAAAGTAGAGCAAAGCCAGAGTGGGAATTGAATTCAAGTTGCCAAGATTGAGAAAGACAGGCTGAATATATCAACCCAGCCATTCTGTTTTAGAGTTTAGCATGCTGTTTGGTTCCGGGTTAGTCAATGAATAAACCATGGCTAAGATCTTCCTGCTCCTTAATGCAGCTGCCCCTCTGCCCCTTCTGCAGCCCCCTGCAGCTGCCCCTCTGCCCCTTCTGCAGCCCCCTGCAGCTGCCCCTCTGACCCTTCTACAGCCCTCTGCAGCTGCCCCTCTGACCCTTCTACAGCCCCCTGAAGCTGCCCCTTCTCCAGCCCCCTTTGGCATCCAATTTTGTAATGCCAACCTCCCCAGGGCAGCGATGCAGCCAATCTCACCCTCTTTGCTTCAACCCAAGGTCCACTTCCATCGGGCCAAGCAAGGGGAGGTACTCTGCACACACTCAGAGACTCCCAACTTCAGTGAAGCGTTCCACCCAACTTTATGCTCCACCCGGGAGGAGGAAGGCGTGTGGAAGCAGCCCAGACCAGGGGAGGCAGAGGGAATGATCGCTTGAAAACTAAGCAAGCAACCAAGCGCAGGGCTTGGTCAGAAGAACTGGGTTGCAGAGGGAGGCTAGGTTGTAGGTGCGGGACAGCCACGTAGAGCCGAACCGAACCGAGCCATGCACCTTGGAGAGCTGCAGCTATACCCACCTGCATCCTGCACGCAAGCCTGGATGGCTGGAGAGGCAGAAGCCAGGCGGGCGCTGCGCGCTCCCTTGTTCTCCTCCGGGGAAGGGGGCCCTAACGCCAGACCACCCACCCCTTCCACTGCACGCCTTGGGAGGGTTTTGCTTTCGGGCCTTCTGGTGTGCCTCCGCCGCTTCCACCAAAGAGGGCAGCCTGCAAGCTAAGGCACCCTCTTTCCACCACCTCCCACCTCTTCCCCCCCAGGCTTGGCAAGGCTCACCGCGCATGGGTTCCACATTCGAGGTGCCAGCTATGGAGCGATGAAACAGTCAATGGGCTGCGTGGCCAGCAGTCAGTGAACCTGGGGGGCCAGAACCTTGAATGTCCCCCTGCCACCTCTTAGCCCCCCCTTGCCTCTTACTGCCCCCCCAAGGCATCCCACCCCCCCAGGAGGCGGTACCACTGGTCTAGACATTTTGAGTTCCTTGCAGAGTTCACAGGAGCAGATTCTTTGCAGTATGGATAAGTCTGGTCTTGAGCGAAGTTTTGAAGTTCTGGTCTTGAGCGAAATTCTGTCATTAACAGCTAAGGGAACTAGGTAAGTTTAGACTTAGGGGTAATGATACTCCAATACTTGAAGGATATGACAGGAAAATTGATTTATTGTCTAAAACATTTTAGGGCAGGATAAGAAATGGATGGAAACTAGTCTGAGAGAGAGATTCAACATGGAACTAAGGTGAAATTTTCTGACAGTGAAAACAATTTAGTCAGTGGAACTACTTGCCTCCTGGAATTTTGGAAGCACAATTGCTGGTGGCTAAAAGAAAAAGATTGGACTACCGTTTGTTCGGGATGGAATACGGATTCTGTCTTTGGGCAGAGGGTTGTGCTAAAAAACCTCCAATGTCACTTTCAGCCTAACAATTCTATGGTTCTAAACTTCACTTCATCTTCTGAAAGCATTTTTCATCTCAGCTAAGCAAACATGGCAAGAGGGATTCCCTATTACCATTTCCTCTTCCTAAGCCCTCAAAAGCAATTTAAATATGATATGCAATTGTCTTCTCTCCTGCCACTCTTGCAGTGCTGAAAAATATTGTTATTATTAGACTGTTATTCCATCTTTTCTTTATCTATGTAACTCAAGCAAAAACCAAAGAAAACAAACAAATGGCTATCTGATGACACTATCAAAATAGCTGTTTTGAATATAACTTTTACAGAATTATAGAATAATAGTTTGAAGTGAACTTGGGAGCCCAACCTTGTTCAAGCAAGAGACCTTATATGATTCCAGACAAATAGCTATTCAATCTCTTCTTAAAATCCTCCAGCGATGGAGCATTCATAATATCTAGAGGCAGGACATTCCACTGATTAATTGTTGTCACAATTAATAGGAATGCCTGATGGGAATGCTTTGGAGAATATCCTCTTTGTGATAGCCCTTCAATATTGCTATCTTGTCATTCCTAGTCCTTATCTTTATTAGAGTACACATACCACATTTGTGCAACAATTCATCATACACCTTAGCCTCCAGCTTCTAATCATTGTTGCTTTTGTGTTGTTTTGTTCTGTTCATTTCTAGTAATAGCTTTGATTGTTTCTAGGTGTTCACAGATTCATTGCTTGATTATCTTTTCCAGGATCTTCCCAGGTATTGATCTCATGCTGCTTAGTCTGTAGTTTCCTGGATCCATTTTCCCCTTTTTTGAAGATGCCTCCTCTCAGTATTTGTTTGTTTTATTTAAAATAAACTTTTGTTCATTTTAAATAACAGGTTACAATTTCAGTGTGCAAATGCAAATCATACTTGTGTAAGTTGGTTCCAGTTTCTTTAAACATGATGGATTGCAAATATTTAATGTGATTGTAATATTATCTGGCAACCATTTCTGAGGCATTTTTATGCAATTGAGATCATTTATTGGAACTGTGGTTTGCTCCCAGAATGCCGTGAAGAGCAGTTTCCTTGCACACGTCTATACTCTGTTCACAAGCCTGTGAAGCAGTGCATCAGTTATTTGTGTGTCACAAGGTAAGAGAAAAATCTATGCATATTATTTGTTAAGAAAAAAAGACATACTGTTTTAGATTAGGTTATGAAAAGTAGGGTTGATGCTATTAGTGTTGCATGGTATTTTGGCAAGTTAGTGAATCTGAATATTTTAATTTTTTTCTTTTTCTTTTCTTTTTCTTAAATAAAGTTTATTTAAGTTTCATATATTTAAAACATTTAAAAAGAAACAAACATATAAACAAATATATATACATGTATACATTTTGCAGCAGGTATTGAGCATTGGTTACATTTTTCTTTCTTTTTTTCTTTTACCCCATAACATTGATGTGATCTACCTTGTTACAATACCTTCCTCGTTCTTTTAATGTTTTAATTTCACAGAATACTTTATGATTAAATGCACGTCCTTCATAGTTCCATAACTTATTCAGTTGTCAAATGTTGCTTTTTCTTTAACCATTCATACCAACAGTTCCAAACTTTATAGTATTCACTATCTTTGTTGTTTTTTAGTAATTTGGTTAGGCTATCCATCACTGCACACTCATGAATTTTTTTAATGACCATCTCCTCTGAAGGGACAATAGACAGTTTCCAATTTTGTGCATAGCTTATTCTGGCTGCCATTATAATGTGCAAGATTACTGATAGGCAAAATTCTTCTCCCAAACATATACCATTTTAAAAAGCTCTTAGATAGAAGTGTTCATTTTCATGTAGACATTTTCTACAGATATAAGTCTTAAAGATTTGCTATCCCCTACACTCCAAAGTTCAAATTGTTCATTTTTCAGCAGTAAAGAGGGTGAGATGTTAACTATATCTTCACACACACACACACACACACACACACACACACACACACAGAGGGGGGGAGAGGGAGAGTTCTGAATATAAAGTTGATTTTTAATTATCCCAGCTCTTTACCATGTGGCTTCGGAAAGTGGGTACCCCTTCCATTGTACTAGGTATTGTAATCTCCCCTTGTACAATCTGGAATCCAAAATCCCTTTTATTTTTTAATGTGTCTCCCTTGCACTACAATTGGTTTTGGGGTTGCCCGGTCCACTGGCCTTAGCTGGGAGTCTACTGTGGGGTTTAACAAGCTGCTGTGAAAAACCAGGTGCACTTTCCCTAGCAGGCACGGGAGTTTCAGCTCCATTGTAACTGGGTTAATCACTTTCACTATTGGGAAAGGTCCTATAAACTTTGGTCCCAACTTTTTGCAGGGGAGTTTTAGCCTCAGGTACTTGGTACACCTTACTCCCTATTTGGAAAGGCTTTTGGGGGGCTTGATGCTTGTTGGCTTGTGCTTTATGGGTTTTTGCTGCTTCTTGAAGAGCCCACTTCATGTTTTCCCAGGCTTTCTTCAGTGACTCCATCCATTCATTTAAAGAAATGGAGGAGGGTAGCTTCCTAGGGAGTTCAGGCATGGGGATGAACTGCCTGCCACTTGTGATCTGAAAGGTGCAAAGTTTTAGAAAGCTGAAATGGCCTGCTTGCTTTGAATTGTGGCTCCTCTGGAGAACCCTGGAGGCATAAGCTGTTGGGGACATACAGTTTAGAGCCCTTCCAGGCTAGTCCTCTCCCTAAGGGTTAGCATTCCTCGGTTATCCTTGTACCATGGATCAGCTGGCAGTTTGATTTTTAGCTTTTGAGTCAAGCCCCTGCCATCTCCGGCTCTTTGTCATGGGCTTGCCCTCAGGTGGTGGTTTGTGTCACTGGTTGGGAGTACTCAGGGATGTACTTCAGGGTAAAATTGAATAAGTTGAAGTATTGTGCCCATTGAACTTGCTTTGGGGAGAATTTCCATGGGGTTCTAAGGGCCTCCAGGTTTTTGTGATCTGTCCAAACTTCAAATGACACTTGGTTTCTCTCAAGGAAGTGGTGTCAGGTCAACAGGGCCCATTGGACTACATAAGCCTCCTTCTCTCATATTGCCCACTTCCTTTCAGTCTCTGTTAATTTTTTGGAGATGTGACCGCAAGGTTGCAGACTGCCCTCTGCATTCTTTTGGAGGAGGACTGTGGCCACTTCCACATCGCTGGCATCTGCTTGGACTATAAATGGATGCTCTGGGTGTTTGAGGATTGGCTCTTTTGCAAATAGTCTTTTAAGTGTTTAGAATGCCTTCTGGCACTCTAGGATCCATTGCAATGGATAACTTGGATGGGGTTTAACCCCCTGTCCTTCAGTTTTTAACAGTTTGGTAATTGGGAGAGCAATTTCAGCAAAAGGGGGAATGAACTATCTGTAGAAGTTAGCAAACCCCAGAAAACTTTGGTGCTGCTTGTGGGTGCAAGGGGGCTGTTAGTTTAGGACAGCTCTGATTTTACCTGGGTCCATTTCTACTCCCTCTCCGGACACTCATTATCCCAGGTAGTCTACACTGGACTGATTCACATTTGGATAGTTTTGCATATAACTTGGCTGTGAGGAGTTTCTTGAGTATCTGGCACACCAGTTTGAGGTGCTCCTCTAGAGTCTCAGTAAAAATGAGAATGTTATTCAAATAAATAAGGACCCCTTTGTACAAGCGCTCATGCAGCACCTCATTTATTAGTGGCAGGGCTTCTTGGAGGCCAAATGGCATTACTTTAAATTAGAAGCTTCCTAAAGGACAATTACTATAAATGCTGTTTTCCATTTGTCTCCTTCTTTGATTTGTACCCAGTAGTATGCCTCTCTCAAGTCTAATTTGGTGAATATTTTTCCTTTCACCAGGTCTTTCATGAGGGGGAGTGGATATATATTTTCTATGCAAACAGTGTTGATTCCACTAAAATCCACATGTAGCCTAATTGACCCATATTTTTTCTCCTTGAAGAGGACTGGGGTGGCCACCCTTGATTTTGCTGGCTGTATAAACCCTCTAGCTAGGTTCATATCAATGTCCTCCCTTAGTTCCTTCATTTCATTATGGGTCATGGAGTATATTTTTTGCTTGGGTACCTTTGCTTTGGGCACAAATTCTATGGCGCAGTTGGTTGGGCAGTATTGCTTTCCCCTTCCCTGAACACTCCTGCTAGATCTTGGTACTCCCTGTGGATTTTGGGCATCCCTGGGAGCTGTTCAGACATGACTTTGGCTTTCTCGTCTTGCTTAGTGTTGCTAAGCCATTGGACAGGTCCCCCAGCAGCAGTTTCAGGGGGAGGAAGTGGGCCTATTCCCAGCCTTCAGTCTGCAAAGGAAGATGAGCTGGAACTGGAGCTGATGGAGATTGAGGGGGTGGCTTCTGTTCTGACCCACGCCCTTTTCCAACAAATCAAACACAATCCAAAGGAAACACAAACCTTTTAATGCTTCTGCAAAATAATTAGCTGTGATAAGGACAAGCCTTGCCAAACTGTGCAAGACTTGCCAAAAGATAACAGATAAGGAATAATTTGCAATACAAGAAACTTCATATACAAACTCAAGATACTGGAAGGTCTGTGAGGCTGGAGTTTCAAAACATCTTTGCCTTCTGCAAAGAACTTTGGTTTCACAGCTGGCTTTTATCTTCTTGAAGGAGGGGCCATTAACCTGCAGCCTTGCTCCTGAGTCACCCATGCTGTTGTAGCTGCTCCTTCCTATGAGCAATCCTGCACTCACACGCACTTGGCACAGGCTCCCCGGGAACCTCCTCATCACTGCTGCCAGCCCCCACAATCTCTGAAGGCAGCAGTCCACTCCCTAATGGTCCTGCCCCCTCATCTGAGTTCTCTCTCTCCTCAGCTGTCTGCACCTGCTGCCGGCTAAACACAACAGCTTCATCTGCTTCAAAGGAATGTGGGGAGGAGTAGGCTGAGGCAGGCCAAGGCCTTTCAGGATTGGGATGGCTTGTAGGCAGGGAGGAATTGGGGCAGGATGACCAAGAGAGACTAAGAAGTGAACATGAGACATAGAGCTCAGATGGTGAGCAAGGATCACCCCTCCTTGAGTGGCGAGAAGATGGAAACAGTGCTGACCCGACAACTTGGGAGGAGAGCACTCCGCCCCTCTTTACAAGGCACACCATTTGTTGGGAACAAACACTGAATTGGTAGAGTTTGGTGTGTGGGTACAGACATTTGGAATTTGCAGGGCTGCTTGCTTCTTCCTTACTTGTGAACTCAGTGTCTTCTTCCTGACTTCGTGAATGCATTATCTTGTTCCTGACTTTGTGGACTCCTTGTTTGTCCCTTGGTTCATGGACTCCTTGTTTGTCCCTTGGTTCATGGACTCATTGTTTGTTCCTTGTTGTTCCCTTAACAATTTATGGCAGGATGTTAGTAAAGCAAAAAGCTGAACATGACAGATCTAACATTTTGCCATCCTTTTCAGAGATGTCAGTCCTGTAGAGGAAACAAAAGTGGGAGGAGACAGAGAAACAAAGAGAAATACCAAATTAACTGATTTTCAGTGAGGTTTGTCCATGTATTGTTCATGGAATTTTCTGAGGATTTTGGAGGTTCGTATACTGTTTTGGAAGGTGGAAAGTCTTTACATGACATTAGGTGTTGGATTTTCCCCTAGTGCGTGTGTGAATCTAGGATTATTTTGACCTCAAAATGTTGCGACCCCTTGATCACCGGGTGGTGGTTTAGTTGCCAGGCATACAGGAGAGGTGGATGCCACCTTTAGTAGACTACAGTGGAACACTGGGTGGATATGTCTGAAAGGTTTTGGAAGTTCAAGTTCACTGGTTACTGGGTTGATGATTCTTTTTATGGGGAAAGGGCCAACATATTTTGGACCAATTTTTTTTTGAAGATTGTCTGGATTGTAAGTTTTTAGTGGATAGACTCTGATTTTAAACTTTTTTGGTTTAGAACATTTCTTGTCACCTTACTTTTTGTATGACTCCCTCACTTCTTCAAGTGCCTTCCTGACTATTGGCCAGGAGTTTTGCAGCTGTGAAATCCATTATTTTAAAGAATCTATTTGGGGGTGGCTTGGGGCAATTCAGGAATAGATACAAAGTCCTGCCCCATGGCCACCTTGAAAGGGGTAATTCTAGTGCTACTATGCATTATTATAAGTTACTTCAGCAA